TTTCTCTCTTCTCCTTCTATATTTTTTTTCTTTACCTATTGTTCTTACCAGAATTTTTGCTTCCACTTCCACTGCCACCTGTTCGGTCCATGGAAATCCCCATTCTTCACTCAATAGATGAATATCTGTCCACAGACTCTCGGCAGTTGGTTGCATTGCCAATCGCTTAACTTGGGTTTCTGAATCACTTTGAGATCCATTCTGTCCATTTGTATGGAATTTTTTTGGGCTTCTATGATCATGGATTTCTACAATTAAACAGCCTAGATCCAATTACCATGCTATTAATATTTATGTTATATTAAAGTATTTTATTTTGTTTTTACTTTTCTTATCATTAAAATAAAGAAAGCTTAAATGTCCATTTAATTAATTTATTTATTTTCCTCCCACCTTCATAATAACGGCAGGATGCTTCATCAAATACGTCCATAAGATCAGCAGGAAGTTGTTTGTTTTTTATCGAACTCAAGAAATCCTATTCCAAAAAAAAAAAAAAGAAAAACAATCTTACTATTAAGATCTTGGTTTTGTTAATTATATTGTTAATTGTAAATAATTACCTTGAATTGACTCTTATAAGAAAAGAAGCCATCCTTTTTTTTTTAAAAAAAAATGCATTGTTTTGTCAAGGTTAGTATACACAGTTAATAAATGTAGTGATGATTTCAATATTGATTTCTGGTTTCTGGTTTTGTTGTTGTTGTTGTTATACCTCATGCTCAAATTTGAAGTAGGTTGGATAAAGATGAAGTACGAGTGAAGGAGGCTCATTAGCATGACGTTGGATAAGATCTATCATTTTCGATAATAGATTCAAAAAAAAAGAATGATATAATTAAATGTCAACGCTTTTCATCAAATGATGTGCATGTTGATCGGATTATATTGTATTATATTGCATTGAATTGAATTGAATTGAATTGAATTGAATTGAATTGAATTAAATTAAGTTGATTTTTGCTTTATGTGTCTTGTGTATTCATTTATTTTATTTTATTTACCTTTCTCATCACGGCGAGACAATCGCTATATGTGTTATATGACAAGACAAGGACAAATCAAGAATAAAAAAAAAAGGAAAAAGGAAAAATAAAGGTATGCTCAGTACAACATTTAATAAAGGGAGAATTTATAGAAAAGTCAAGGTGTGTGGATTCTTTTGGATTTATAGTAATGTATTAAATTGTAGAGGATTCCTTTTTTCTTTCTTTCTGTAATTATTACCTGGGTTGGCTCAGTGCTCTGCGGTTGGGATACTGGACGCGCAATGGGTGCCTTTCTCGAGGCTGATTTTCCAACTACACTAGACCCTTGACGGGAGTGGAATTCTGCGAGTTGGGCAACCGCACTCTGGTCTGCATGAAGCTTAGCCATGAGTTTGGCAGAGGCCATGGCTTGTGGGGGGAGGTGGGAGGGGATTGTAATAAAAAAAAAGTGGAGAAAGATAGAAAAGTAAAGGAACAAATGGCAGAGCGAGAGAATCCAAAAATGGATATAATCACGTGACGTATTTCGATCTTTAGAGGTTATTACACCGTCTTGTTTTTAACGATACTTTTTCTATTATTATTATTATTATGCCGTGTAGATTTGAAATTATAATTATTATTATTATAATAAGTATCTCTTTACAAAATAGAAGAATAATAAAAAGAAAGAAAGAAAGAAAGAAAGAAAGAGAAAAAAATATAACAGAAAAAAAATAACAATAAAAATGAAGAAGAAGAAGAAGATGAAGAGGAGGGGGAAGTGAGAGAGCGAGAGATAAAGTCAAGGTGAGGTAAGGAATACAATTGATATATATATATATAAGTTAATGTTTAGGTTTAGGTTTATCATATTTGCTCTTGTGGATCCACGAGTTGCCCATAATGCCTTGCCCTTGCTTCTCGGCTTTACGATAATAATAAGCAGCTTTGTAGTGATCTTTTTTGAGACCATGTCCATGGTAATAACAATGTGCTAGATCATTCTGTGCGTCTGCGTCTCCGAGATCAGCGGCAATAGTGAAGAATTGTACGGCTCTCTCCTTGTTCTTCTTACACTACGTGGGTGTGCAATAAGAATAAATAAATAAATAAATAATGATAAAAAAGTAATCAAAGATAAATAGATAAATAAATATATCAAATAAAGAAAATCAAAGGAAGAAAGAAGTTAATAGACTTACACCCCAGCCGTGACGAAAAGAAACACCTAGTTCATAAATGGCCATAACCAGCTCATTCTTAGAGGCAGATTTTGAAGCAGCATCCGAAAGTGTAGCGAGATCCTGAATAGCAATCTCGGCAGCTTTCTGAAGATAGGTAAATGCAAGGAATTCATCTCGTTGGGCACCCTAAGGACGAGAATGTTTCAATTTTAATAATCATGATAATTATTGAGCGAAAAGAAAAATCACAACCGAAGCAAAAATAAAGTAAAATATAAGGATTTTGTGTGCAAAGTTCGATATATATATATATTTATATTTATATGGATATATTAGCACATTAAACACACAAAGCAAATTTAGAGCTGTACACTATATTATTATTATTATTCTTGTTTTACAAAAAAAAAGTTTCTTTCTTACCCATCCATGGCGTAGAGACACAGCGTAGAGAAACATACCAATTGGGTTCTCTTTCTGGGCAGCCTGACGGAACAAATTGGTTGCTTTTTCGAGTTGCCCGGTTTCATGGAACTGAATACCCTGCTGAACCCAAGATTCATCTTCGCTGATAGTTGGTACATGTTTTTGTTCCTGGAAAGATGAAGCTGACGAATAAGAAGAGCGGTTCTTGAGACTAGGTGAGGTGGTGTCGCTCAAGCCGGGTGTTAAGAGAGGCTGGCCTTCTCTGCGAGTCGGCACAGGTGTCTCGGGGATCATAAGGGGTGGTAAGGTGGCGGAAGAAGATTTGGGTCGGTGAGAGTCTAACAAAAGAATTGTGGTGTAAGTTATAGTCATTCACAAGGGAACAAAGGATGTATGAGAATAAGAAGAAGAAGGGGGGAAAAGGGAAGGAAGCATGACCAGCTCCATCTCAGGAGTGTGAGAGGCTGAGGTTCGCTTGGTGCAACGCCATACCATAGAACGCGGGTTCTATTTAAAGAATGCCAACGATGAAGATATCAGAATATGTAGTCATTTATACTTTTATACATCTACACATTTATACATTTGGAAATCACTAAGGTTGAATATACTAACCGAGACTAGGATGACTTTTTGAAGGTGACAATCCAATTGTAGTTGGATCAACAAGGGACTCATGGCCATTATAATGAGAATAAGCTCGCTCATCCTGTAAGCCCATTAATAATTAAATACATTTATATAGAGAAACAAAGCAGAACAAAGCAAAAATAAAATACATAGTTATGTGCATGTATGTATGTATAATTTGAATTGATCAAACTCTTTTAATAACATAAATATTTAATAGTAATAATTTTTTTCGAAAAATAAAATAAAGGGTTCAATTGATCCTTACTTGAGATTTTGATTCATTGAATGAAATCTAGAGAAAAAAAGATGAGATCCCGGATTAATAAAGATGAATCTACTGGATTGAGTTGATCTTACATTGGAATTGATGGATGCCTGTGAAATTCGTCTTATAAATCACCTCCTTAATGGTTAGTACCTCCCTCTTTTTTTTTCTTCGTCTTCTTTTAGACTCTAAAGGTAATGGTGATTTACCTCGGATCATGGCACTGCTGAATTGACAATGATGAGGGGTCAGGTACGGGCTGATGATTCTTTGATCCGAAATTCATTCTTTTAAACATGGTAAACTATATATATTTATATATATTTATATTTATATTTATATTTGTGTATGTAAGTGTGTATGTATAAAAAGACAGAGTACGTAGTATAAAAAAGGGATTTGAAGGAGTGTGGTTGAAAGGAGTGTGTGGGGAAGGGGATTGTACAGGAGAAAGAGAGTAAGAGAGAGTGAGGGAAAGAGGGAAAGGTAACGAGAGAATAAGAGAGAAAGAGAGAAAGAGAGAAATAACAGGTGTAGGGTACCATATTTCTGGCTTCTTCTTGTGCCAATGGTGGTTATGCGTGCGACACGCACCTATTTAAGGTATGTCTGTGTGCCTTGATCGGGGTCAAACAAAATGAAGATGTATAAATATAAATATAAATATAAATATATCAATATAGAATTATATACTTTTAAGTGTTCAATTGGAAGTAGATCATCATCATCATCATCATCATTGTATAGTAGACGTATGTATATGTGTACCTATATACCAAGTAGTTAACTGGAACAATATAAATTTTCTATGGAAAATATTAGCTTTGGAATGTCTAAGAGCAAGAAAGAAATTAAGAAAATATATATATATTTATATCTATATTCGAGTTCAGATTAAAGGTCTATATACAACCTTAATTAAGTACAAGTGTCTTGACCTTGTGTGTTGTATTTCATTACAATAAAAGAATAATGGAGTATACAAAGCAATATCATCATTCTGTGACAATAATTACCTCAAGATACATTAAAGTCAACTATAGGAATCTGCTTAAGAAAGAAATATTTTTTTTTGGTTATTGTGTATATGAGAATGAGAAAACGGAAATGAATTCCTGAGCCTTTAAAAGTACCTGATACTTTATGTATCTTTTATTGAGACTTACACAATTACCACTGGAATATTCCATGTAAAATAAGTCTTTAACAAATATCCGTATATTAAAAGTACCTATTTTAAAGTTTTCTTATTACTAACTACATACATAACCTTAGAAAGACTTTCACACACAAGTACACTTCAACCACTAAGAATCGTCGTTTGTGTGAGTATAAGTATCCTCTCTTTGATGATCCGCTTGACTGGATTTCGAAATAGACATACACAATTATTTTTTCCTCGTGCTTGTCCATCAGCTCATATGAATTATATATAAGAAATAGAAAGAAGAAAAAGAAGAAGAAGAAAACCACCCCAAAAAAAGTAACAGCTCTTATAAATCAATAATGGGTATTTTCTAGCCAACTTTAATCGTTTTGTCAATTTTGATTTCTTTTTGAAACATTTTGAAGCTTTATTTCTCTTTAACATCAATTATCTGGAGTTCTGCCAATATCCTTTTCTCATTAACTTTTTTTTAAAAATAATAATAATAATAATAATAATAATCAATGTACTACTTACAAACACTTCAATATCTTGAATCATTCTCCAAGTAATAACTATGTTCAATAAAAAAAAAGAACATTTACATTATCATTGTATTTAATAAACCCAATCTACAGGGATATAACAAATCATTCTAGGACCGCCACTAAGGATCTCTTTATAGAAGAAGAAAAAAACACAAAAAAAAGAGAAACTAATTTAGAGTATGTTTAGACCACACACACGAGGAACCGTGTCCTGTCAATCTATTCCGTAAAAAAAAATTGAGTTGAAATCTACCCTTTTTCTCTTTTTAATTATTTGAGCTGTGAATATAAGCATATAGAGAACAAAGCCAACGAGTAGTATACTAGTTGTAGATTATTAAAAGTGATATATATATATATATATATATATACATATATAATTAAATCTTGATCTCGGGTGTAATATAGGCCAGCAGGTATGCCATTCAAGAGACAAACGTAAAGTGTTTTGTACAAGAATATCCCCATAAGAAACTAACAGAACTCAGCATAGCCGGTACATATATCTTTGATTCAAATATATATATATATTTATCATATATAAAACTTTTTTTAAAGAAAAAGAATTATTTAACTCTTTCAAATTCGCATTTCAATTTTAATTTTAATTTTTTAATTTTAATTTTAATTCTAGTTTGCCAAAAGAGCCAGAATGTGACTGTATAGATGATGATGAGAGGAGGGACTTTTTCTTTGGTTGCAGAAGAGGAGAGTTGCATATCAAGGATTCACACACCGCAGCACCCCTTACTTTTTTTTGTTGCCTTCTTCCTCTCTCTCTTTCTTTTCTTCTTCTTGTTTTTTTTTGTTCCTTTATGCCACCTTGATTTTTTTTTATTTATTGAATTGTGTTTATCACCAACCTCATTAGAATATTAAATAAATAAAAGAATATATATATATATATATCTATTCACACACACACGTACATACATAAAGGGGAGCAACCACCATGTCTACTTCGAAACTACTTCACTCTCAGCTATCAGACGAAGAGCTTGCTCTTGGTCCAGTTCAGCAACATGGTTATCATAATGACTACGGACCTATCCATGGCGATGATTCCGATGATTCCGATGGTGAAGTTCCGGCCTCATTACTAGTGGAACAACCTGCCAGCAGAGACCACCACTATCTTGATAGAGGAAATCCACTACACTATTCACAAGACACCGACTTTGACTCTCCAGCACCAAACGACCGACCACAATCAACTATGAATCACATGTCACCATATGACCGTGCAATCTGGCGCTGGACAAATGTACAGAATATGGATGTCTTTTTTCAAAGAGTGTATGATTATTATCAAGGCAAAGGAATATATTGTATTCTGCTGGGAAGACTATTGAACCTATTGTAAGTCATTTTTTTTTATTTTCGTTCTCTTAAAGAAGAAGAAGAAGAAGAAAAAACAGATACTGAAAGATATATCTTTATATATTCGTCATTGATTTTTTAATATTATTATTATTTTGCTGTACAACACTATCATAACCGCCAAAAAGACATCTTGCATTTTTGTTATCTTTTTCAACGTTCTTGATAGGCTGTGTTGATTACAGAGCAATACCTAGTCATCATTCTCTATCAGAAGTAGTGTCATTCGGAGGACTTTTAAGGTATGATCATTTTCTATTTCTTTATAGTACTTTTAGAAACCAACTTGGGATTAGTATCAGCAGCAGTAGTAGTAGCAGTAGTAGTAGTTCCGGTTTTAATAGTCAAAAGAACGTCCGTTCATCATCTGACAATGATCATGTCTCAACTGTCTTCTCTTATTTTATTTATCTAGCCTTCCGTTTCCTATTGCTCTTGTATTGACTATATTCGTCATCTGGTGGATACTACAGGCTGTTAGATTTGTGTGGGATATATCAAGTTTGATGGAAATTCATGACTTTTATCTACATCTCTTGACAATTCCAGACGTAAGAATTACAAAATGGACACACTTATATATATATATGTGTGAATGATAATGATACAATATTATACGATGCTGACATTAATAATTAATTACTTAATTAACTAATCCTTTATCTCTGTTGTCGTAGCAAGATATGCAAACTGTTTCTTGGGACAAGGTTGTAAAGCGAATGATTGCAATTCGTAATACAAACCCAAATACCTCTGAGCGCTCTTCTGTCAAAATCACAGTCCATGAAGTAGCCAATCGCATCATGCGCCGAGAGAACTATATGATTGCTCTATTCAACAAAGAAGTACTCGACATGACAATCCCATTACCTTATCTTCGCCACAAGCGTATCTTTACTCGAGACCTGGAGTGGAACTTATCATATTGTGTTCAGAGCTATGTGTTTGATGCCCGAGGTCAGATTCGAAAGAGATTTATGAAACAAGAAAATCGACCATTACTTGTAGCTGGGTAAGGTGATATTTACACACACACATATTATATTCTAGAAATTAAAGGCACTAAAAAAGGAAACATAAAATAAGTTGAAAAACTAATATAAATATCATTTTTGTTTTGTTTTCTTTGGTGGTGTATGTTTTTTTTTTAGTCTGCGGAAACGATTTATATTTATGGGCATTGTCAACCTAGTATTTGCACCTTTTATCCTGGTCTATTTATTTGTATTTTTTGTCTTTCGATATTTTGAGGTAAGAACTTCTTCTTCTTCTTCTTTAACGTTAAAGATAATGAACGGTAGCTATGGTCAAAAGAGTCATTGAGTGAGCAAGACCAAGACCAAAAAAAAAAAAAAAAAAGAAAGAAAGAAAGATGATGAAGTTTCAATAAGTTTAAAATCGTCATTACAATCAACTGTCATTGAAACAAACAAACAAATGAAATCAAATTAAATTAAACCAATTTGGTATAGGAGTATCACAAAAATCCATCTGAACTTGGCTCAAGAGCGTATACCCCATTTGCAAAGTGGAAGTTTAGAGAATTTAACGAGTTACCACACTTTTTCCATGCTCGACTCTGTCAAAGTCTAGAACCAGCAAATCGTTATCTGAATCAGTTTCCGAAAGAAAAGACTGTCTTGTTAGCAAGGTAAAGTCACCAATCGACATACATTTGTGCACTTGTGCATATTTGAATTTGTATTTTTCTGTTGATTGAATGCAAGATATTAGTTATCTAGCTATCTAGCTATCTAGCTATCTATCTTTTTATCTGTACCTTTATCTATATCTATGCACTCAAATCTCTAAACTCAAATCTCAATTCTTAACTTTGCTTTACTTCTTTCTTTCTCTCTCCCTATCTCATCCCTCAAATTTTTTTTATTATTTATTTTTTTTGGTTATCTTGTGAATAATAGATTCGTATCATTTGTTGCGGGCGCATTTGCGGGAGTTCTGGGTCTATTGACTCTATTTGATTCAGAAGCCTTGCTGAATTTTGAAATCTCGCCAAATGGAACCGTTCTGTTTTATCTGGGCATATTTGGTACAGTTTTTGCTGTAGCTCGAGGAATGATACCTGATGAGCACTTGGTATTTGAACCCAAAAAAGTACTGGCCGAAGTTGTCGAACACACTCACTACCTTCCTATTGAATGGCGAGGAAAACTTCATACAGAAGAGGTAAAATAAAAAAAAATTAAAGTATTGTCCTTTATTACAAATAGAAGAAAAAAAATTCCTAACTCTTTTATAAAAAAAAAAAGGTTCGGGCACAATTCTGTCAGTTATTTGATTTCAAGGTCGGGATGTTCTTTCAAGAGGTCCTCAGTGTAATCTTTACACCCCTGGTTCTTTTATACTCCCTGCCTCGATCAACAGAAGCGATCGTTGATTTCTTTAGAGAGTTTACGGTTCATGTGGACGGAACTGGCTATGTTTGTAGCTTTGCTCAATTTGACTTTGCACGCCACGGGAATGTCAAATTTGGTGCGCCTACTCAAGTGAATGATGACCATCTTGTGAGTCGAGACGGGAAGATGGAAAAGAGTTTTTTGAACTTCAAGACCCACAATCCCGAGTGGGTGCCCAATGATGAGATGGGATCTATTTATCTGTCTCGGGTAGCAGCATTCCAGCAGAGTGGTCCGGGTGGTGTCCTGGGTGGTGGAAGAGGAGGATTTGGAGCAACAGGAGGATCCAGAAAGACAAAGATGTTGAACAAGTATGGCGTTACCGGGGTTGTACCAAGCCATTTAGGAGACTCCTTTGTTGGGAGCCAGCAAATGGGATGGCAGGAACAAGAGCATGTATTCAAAACTGATGAGTATGATGAAGAGGATGAAGAGGATGAAGAAGAGGATGTGATTAGACAGCCTGGAATGAAAGGACTTTTGAACCAGTTCTATACTCTGAATAACCCGGCATCTACATAAGCACTTGTTGTTAGTTGCTCTTGCTGATCTTGCTGATCTTGTCTTTTTTTTTTCTTTATTATAAAGTATAAATATAAATATAAATAAAAATAAAAATAAAAATCTATATCAATCCGTACATCTATTGATCTTTGTCATTGAGGACTTTCCCGGATCAGATCGTGTACAAGAAAGAACAAATAATATACTTTTCTGTTAATAAGAATAAACCGAACTGGATTACTATTATTTTTTCCGTAAAGTGCGGCTCATTGGTGTCTTGTTTTATGACAAGTTTCTATATGCATACAAGTCGTATTTTATGCAGTTTTAATGTCTAGGTTAAGTGTTACCTTTGTGTTCAAGTTCTCTAAAAAGGCATCTGAATTCTCTGGTTCGGTAATTCAATCAAGAAGACGAATAGGTTTGATTTTGTTACAAATGTCCACGAAACAGAAGAGGGCTTCCAGGAAATTATATACAAATATAGTTATATGATTTCAGTAACCAGCCAAAAAGGATAAACAAGAGTTTTATTAGCAATAACAATAAAACTCGAATAATTTTTGGTTTGATACAAAATACATACATATACATAATATATATTGTGTGTGTGTATATAGTTGGAACTCAAAAACGTCAGTCAACACATTACACTACGTATTACTATGTGCAAGTGTCTGTGAAGCAAAGCCAAGCCAAGCTGAGATCAACTATATTACTTTATCATTAAAATTTTACCTTTTTTTTTTTCTTTTTTTTATGTGATTTCTCAATTCATTTGTTCTATTCCCGATAAGCGCAAGAAATAGACCCGCTTATCGTCATGAGTAAATTGCGGACATTCACACTCGTGGGAAAGTTGAGGGCCTTGGGATTGGACCTCAATTCGTAATAAAGAAAAAAAAAAGAAAAACAGATAAATAGGGGATGGTTGGCCCAAAGGGAAAGAAAGAAAGAAAGCAAAGCCTACCAGACCTTTTTCTTTTTCTATAATTTACACTTCTTTTTCAGTTTCCCAAACCATTTACACACGCAGCTACTATCATGGCCACTCCAACTCTTGCCCACTTTAAGCTTCCCGTCATCGAAAACGAGGCTATGGTTAGTAGGCACTATTAAAACGAGACAATTCTTTTGAGGGATTCAAGGCTTTATCTCTGAATCGTCATCCTTTGTTCACGCGCTTCATTCATTTGTTCTGTAGCTCAACTATGCTCCCGGATCTCCTGAAAGAGCCAAGATCGAACACGCCTTGAAGGAAATGATTGCAAATGGTCCTGTTGAAATCCCTGTGGTTATCAATGGTGAAAAGGTGTGGATCTAAAAATACGTTGAATTATAGTCAACTAAAACAAATAAGCAAACAAACTTACGCGCGCATACACATACATGCATACATGCATACATACATATATTTATTAATTAATTATTTTCTTTAGATCTTCACCAAAAAGATTGCTACTCAGGTCAATCCTTCTGATCACAAGAAGATCGTCTGCAAGTATCATGAAGCCGATGCCGCATTGACCAAGAAGGCTATTGAGGGTGCCGAAGAGGCCAAGGCTCGCTGGGAAAGCCTTCCTTTCAACGACCGCGTGGCTGTGTTCCTCAAGGCCGCCGATCTCTTGGCCGTCAAGTACCGCTACAAGGTCATGGCTGCCACCATGCTCGGCCAAGGCAAGAACATCTGGCAGGCTGAGATCGACGCTGCTGCCGAGCTTTGTGACTTCTTGCGCTTCAACTGCAAGTATGCCGAAGAGATCTACCAGCAGCAGCCCCCAAAGAACTCGCCCGGAACATGGAATCGAACCGAGTTCCGTGCTCTGGAGGGCTTTGTCCTGGCCGTTTCTCCTTTCAACTTTACTGCCATTGGTGGCAACTTACCTGCCGCCCCTGCTCTGATGGGTAACGTTGTGATCTGGAAGCCTTCGCCAGGTGCGGTCTACTCCAACTACCTGGTCTACGAGATCCTGGTCGAGGCCGGCTTACCTGCTGGTGTGATCCAGTTTGTTCCCGGACCTGCTGAGGAAATCGTCGGGGCCGCCATTTCGAACCCCTCCTTTGCCTCACTTCACTTTACTGGCTCTACTCACGTATTCCGCAAGCTGTGGAAGGATATCGGCAACAACATCGACATCTACAAGTCCTATCCCCGAGTGGTTGGCGAGACCGGCGGTAAGAACTACCACATGCTGCACCCTAGTCTCGACAAGGACGGTGTCCGCCACGCCGCTCTCCAGACCATCCGTGCCGCATTTGAGTACCAGGGCCAAAAATGCTCTGCCTGTAGCCGTGTCTATGTTCCAAAGTCCCAGTTTGCCGATTTCCGCCGTGAGTTGCTGGCCGAGCACGCAAAGATCAAGCAGGGATCTGTCGAGAAATTCGAGAACTTTAGTGGACCTGTCATCAGTCAGTTTGCATTCGACAAGATCAAGGGGTACATTCAGCACGCAGCCACTGCTGAGAAGGGCACTGAGATTATTGCGGGTGGTAAGTGTGATGACTCGGTCGGCTACTTTATCGAGCCCACTATCATCCTGACGACCAAGAAGGATGCAAAGACTCTGGTTGAGGAAATCTTTGGACCTGTTGTGACCATTTACGTCTACGAAGACGCCGAATTTGCCCAGACTTGCAAGTTGGTCAGTGACACTACTCCTTATGGACTTACCGGTGCTCTGTTTGCTCGCGACCGTGATTCTATTGTTGCCGGCTCTAACCTGTTGCGCAACACTTCGGGTAACTTTTATATCAATGACAAGTGCACTGGTGCTGTGGTTGGTCAACAGCCCTTTGGTGGTGGACGTGCTTCGGGTACCAATGACAAGGCCGGCAGTTCCTCTCTCTTGATCCGCTTTGTCTCTACTCGCTCTATCAAGGAAAGCTTTGTTCCTATTGAGGGATTTGCTTATCCTTCCAACTTGGTCTAAAGACTTCTTTACATTTATTCCCTTAATTTTTTTTTTATTTTTTTCCTCTTCTTATATGTATTTACAACTAAGTATTTCTTTCTTCTTACACACACACACACACACAAAATGGGAAGAAGAAGAAAAAGGCAGTGAGAATTGAGGGACTAGTAAGAATGGGAAAAAAAAGGTGTCTTGAAAGGATCCTCTTTCTCTTTCTTTATGCCATCTTATTTCATATTCTTCTTCTTCTTCTTCCTTCCTTCCCTTTTCTTTATTTGTATACTTTCGCTTTCGTTTTCTCTTTCTCTCTTTCTATATATCTGGTTTCGCTCACAAACACAATGCCCAAGTAATTACTGAAAAAATAAATAAATTGACTCGAGATAATTCTGCATAGTTTTTTTTTGGGGGATTATTATATTATATTATATTATATTAATATACTGCTGTTTTAATAATAATAAATAAATAAATAAATAAATAAATATAAAAAAAATCATTTTTCTCTTTAAATTAATTTATTAATTCTTGGATTTAATGTGAGCATTTGGTGCAAGGCATTGCTCGGCTACATCGGGTACTACTTGGACTTGAATACCATGGGATTGTAGCTGAGCAATACCTGTGCAGACAACCAAGTGCGGTGGTTCTTTGATCCCTAACACGACGCGTTTGATATCTGCCTCGATTAAACGATCTGTACAGGGACGATTTCCTGACAGTCGTGTTGAGCATGGTTCCATTGTGGTGTACATCGTTGCTCCTTTGAACAACTCTCTGGTGTTGTCTTTGTTTGGTGCTACTACCTTGGCCAGTGCACATTCTTCTGCGTGGGTGTTTCCGGGTAGCTCACGAGAGAATCCGGTACTGAGCACAGTGTTGTCCTTGACCAGGACAGCACCTACACAGTAAGCACCTTCAACAGGAACCGAGAGATTGGCTTGTTCGATAGCCAGTTGCATGTATTTGGCATCTTCTTTGTCGGTCGTAAAAGTGGTGGAGTCCATGGTCAATAGAAGAAGGAAAGAAAAAGGAAAGAAGGTAATTGATTGAATTAAAAAAAATAAAAAATTACAAAACGGAACTTGTAATCCACACTACACACACTATTTCTATTTTACATTCACACATATTTAATCTCCTGTGTAATTGTGTGAATAGATGAATGCCATTTTGTACTTGGTCATTTATGCCCTCTGCTCTGCTCTGCTCTGCTCTGCTCTGCTCTGCTCTGCTCTGCTCTTCTTTTTCTTTTTCTTTTTCTTTTTCTTTGCTCTGCTTCTTTCCCCTCCCTCTTTTGTCCGATTATACGGGCAGGAATGAGTCAAATATTTAGGTTAAATAAGAAAATTAGATAGCAAAGCCCCGTCGATATAGATATTTCTACCATCAAATGACCTACAAAGACGTAAACTCAATTACTTGTTATGTTAATATTAATATTTTTTTCTATGTATATATAGTATTTATCTATTTATTCAAAAGTATGCATCATTTACAATATATACATTTGTTAATCAAAAAAAATACAAAATACAAATATCTATATAAATAAATAAAGGAATATTTTGTCCGGCTAAACTTGAAAGAGAAAAAAAATAAAACAATTTTAATCCCAACACCAATAGATTTTCAGATATATAGATATATACACTTGTTAAAAACAAAGGTGGGGCTTTAATTGGAGGTTGAATTAGACGCAAACGCGCAAAAGGCAAATAATAAGCTTCCTTTCTTTCTATTTCTTTCTACTTTTCTTTTCTTTAAGAATATATCTATAAAACATGTTCAGAATTAGAGCCATTGTTCGTACCAGCGCACGTCTCTTACGCCCAGCCGTTGCCACTACAACCCGCTTCTCTTTGGCTTTCAAACCCACCACTGCATTCCAGTCGATGCGCGCTGGTCATGGGTCAATGGGTGCTCTGCACACTTCTGCTCGCATGCAGGCATGTCAATCCGAAACACCTTCAGAACACCCTCTCTTGACCAAGTTAAAGGCAAACCCTCACATTCTTCACAAACTGGCCGGATTCACTGCCTTTTTGGAAGCCAAGGGAATCGATATGTCTGGAGAGCAGCCAAGTATGATGCAAGTGGCCAAGGTGATGAGCGACACCGAGGTAAGATATAATTTATCTACAAATATAAAAAATATATATATATTAATATTAATATTATTATTATTATTAGGTTAGAGAAAAGATCAAGGATCTGGTAAAGGATATGCAAGAAGCAGAAATTGAATTGGACATGTCAACAATCTCAGAATTGCAGGCCAGTCTGGGGGAATGGACCAAAGAAGTGGATGATGGTAAAAAGGACAAGAACTAGATAAAAGCGAAAAAATAAAATAATAATAAATCTACATTTGTTTTTTTTTTTTTTACACACACATATACGATTTACCTTTTTATTGTTATTATTATTATCTGCTTTAAAAATATGTGATAAATTCCAAATGGCTTAATTTAATTTTATTTGTATTCTTTACAAAATAAGTATCTAGACTAGATGAGTGTGTGGCGAATTATATATAAATATTAAAAAAATAATAATTATGGAGTGTGGCGCATGGTAACCATGGCGATCCAAAATAAAATAGAAAAATTATTACTACATTGTGGCGCTTATAATTTGACATTTCTTTTTTTGTTATTTTTTATTTTGCACAAAATAATAATCATAAATCAAAGGATATATATATATTACCTTTAGAATAAAAGACCACATGCGTGAACAAGTGTGAAAATGTCTTTTCTTTATATACATAAAAGAGTTAGTGAATAAGTAAAGGACTATGAATGATATGTATATAATAAAGACAGAATGAGCACACCATGACATCACTTCAATGCTATAGAAATCCACACCAGTGAAAAAAAAAATTAATATAAAAAATAGACTTTCCTTATTTTTTTATTTTTAATTTTCATCTCTTTATCAATAATATTATTCAAATACACATTATGCCTGAAAGCTTTGATTTTACATCAACTCCCCCAGATGAGAAAAGTGAGTAATTAAATAAAGAAGAAGAAAAATAAAAAGTGAAATTAATAAAAAAAATAAAAAATTAAGCTCCATGGAAGAACCCGATAAAACACAGAGGAGAAGACGCCTGGAATGGGTCCAAGGAAGCCCGTACTCACCCAGAGCTGTGTTCCACGGGTTATGGTACAATTGATATTGATATCGGTGCTGACTCTGACACTGGTTCTGCCACTACAACTGGCCTCTCCAAATCTTCTACCAAAAACCCTGCACCACACCCTGACCAGCAAAACTCAAACTCAAACTCAAAACAAAATGAAACAAAATCAGAATCTGATGATCTTAAAGAACATGATGGATTTGGGCACACTGTACACACAAAACCAAGTCCACAAAACTATGTTCACCGTGATTTAAAGGACATTTAAGTCGATTGATTTTATTTTATTTATATGTACATAAAAAATAAATAAAGATAAGAAAAATATTCTACTACTATTACCTCTATGATAATCACTACTATAATTGTCTTTATAGTATGGTTGGTTTAAATATTGACCCTCCCTTCCCCTTCCCTTTTTGGCCTTTATTGACAAACAGAATAAGGTGTACAAGACCACAAAATCTGTCTCAGAAAAGAATACCAATTTTTTTCTCTTATTTCATAATCATCATCAGGCCATCTTGAAAACAGATGAATTTTTTATATGCTTGTGTAACCATGGAATGATATTTGATTCTTGGAATGGTAGGCGTTTGGAGTAGTTTAAATGTATATATGAGAGAAAGCAATTTATAAATTTATAAATATATGATGGACCCTGCTCCTTTTAACCTTATAAATATATTCCTTTTTCTCTCTCTTTGAGAAAAGGAAGAAGGAGGGGGGAAAAGGGGCTTGAGCTAGGAGGATTTAAGCAAGCTAGACAAACAGACAAGTAGGTCCAGATTGACATGTTTAAATCTGTGATAATCTTTTACAAGTCAAGTCTTGATATACTATATTGTAAAACACTCTCCCTTGCTTTCTCTTGTTTAGCATGTACCTATATAAATTTCTTAATGTGCAATACAATAAAGGCAAATAACAAAGGGGCATAAGTTGGCATAGGTTTCTATCCCTCTCTCCACAAATGAACAAACGAAACGACTGAAAGATTGATTGTAATTATAATACAGTATACACTACATAGTACATAGTACATAGTACTTGTGCTGACATGTGAATTCATAGATGTTATTGTCATTGTTTTGTTACAACACCAAGATCAATAGACTTCTTTTTCTACTGTGCCTTGAATGTGACCTATACATGATATTCAGTATCAAGAATATGTAGAATGTATTCAAGAAATTATTACTATCAAGAATGCTACATAGAATCCTACATTTATGTATATATTCGATTTTCTCTCTGTGTTGGAAATCTTCAGACACACAAAAGACTTGACAAGCATTAGGTCTATATAACAGAGATACAATCGATAGTTTAGAAATTTTTTAGAACCTTAAAAAAAAATCCTTTTCTTTTTTATATAATTATATAATTATATATATAATTAGATTAATTTTTTATACCAAAAAGTAAACTTCAATTTTTCTTCTTCTTTTCCTTCTCTACTCTCTCGCTCTCATATACAAACTACAAACGCAACACCTTTATCACTACTACCACCGCTATCAAACACATATACACCCAGAGACAATTATGCTCCAACGCAGAGTATCCCAACATAACCCTCCAACCACAAAAACATCCATGACCAATCTGGTTACTAACGGAAGAGAAATATTGGCCACAACCAAAGACAATCGACTGGTAAAATTTCAAAAATTATATATATATCTTTTTTTTTCTTAATTCATAACAAAATAATAAATAAATAGTTTATCATGATAATGATAGTAATAATGATAAAATCATCTAGAGAGCAACTACAGCAGGAGGACTTTTGGGAACCAAACGAACCTCACTGGGAAACCTGAGAAAATCCAAATCATCCACCACAGCTGACCATCATAATCAGTCCACACGCCAATCCGAATTAATGACAGCAGTAGACATGACTATGAAACGTCGCTCAACAGGCTGTATCAGGCAAAATTCTTTTAATACATCAAAAAACAATTCCACAATCACCACTACCACAGCAACAACAGCAACAACAGCAAACCAAAATACAAAAGTACTATTTATTTATTTTCTATTAAAAATTATTTCGTTTGTTTATAAACACTATGAAATAAATAAATAAAAAAATTTGGCACTAATAATCACAATATAAATTATTTTTTTTTTTAAAAAAAAAAACAAAGATCTGGAGACCGCCTGGATGTTACGAAATTCCAAATATTCTAGGTAGCGATTGTTTTTTGAAACCAGATCCTCCTACAGCCCAGGAAAAGACTTACAGTCTGCGAGCGTACAACCCAACAAAACACATTTCGAAACGTCCTTGGCTGCCGGCTGGACCCCGTTCAGAGATTCCGCAACTGCCTCCGTTCGTACGACCAGAGAATGCCTTTGAGCGTAACATTCGAAAAGCGGTACCCAAAATACAAGTATCATCGCTTGATCCACGCAACAAGTACGGTAGCTTTAAAGAGATCGGAACAGGGTAAGTTAATATATATATATTTAATAATTAATCATTCATTCATTCATTTAATAATTCAATCAATTAATCAATTATTTGTTCTATTAAATAAAACTAAAAAATCATATATACAGTGTAAATGGAGCCGTGGTTAGAGCCACTCATCGGTACAAAAAGAATCTAAGATTGGCAATCAAGCGTTGTCGTCTAGATCCTGACCGCGACTACAAGGCTGCAATGATCCGCGAACTCCGAATAATGGCCACAGGGCACCCTAATTTAATCCGTCTCCGAGAAGTAACCATTTGGAGAGACGACGTTTGGATGTGCATGGACCTCCAGCGATGTGCAGTGTTTGCCGTACTCTGTCAACGTGAAATCCCAGAAGAATTTGCTGTCAATATTGCTTGTGAAACCCTCAAAGGATTGGTGTTTTTGCACCAAAAGGGATTCATTCATCGAGACGTCAAGTGTGAAAACATTCTCTTGGGTTGGAACGGTGAAGTCATGCTAGGTAAGTTTAATTTAGATTTCTTTATTTATTTATTTTCTTGCCTCTTTTTTGTTTTTCTTGTTTTGTTTAGGAAATAATAAATTTGTTTCAAAAATTACATAAATACATACATCATTTACATCATTTACATATCTAAATTATAACCATATATACATCTTTAATAATGATAATTTTGTAATCATCACCATGACAACAATAATAATAATGTCTACAATACTATACCATCAAATATAATTTATATTTATACTTATGTTCATATAATAGCTGATTTTGGCTTGGCCACTCGAACTACCAGACGTAATCGAGACCGTCTTGGTACCAGTAAATGGATGGCGCCCGAGGTAATTCGAGAACAATACTACGACGACAAGATCGACATGTGGTCTCTTGGCATCACAGTAATTGAAATGATGGACCGCGTCCCACCACATTATATGCTCAGAGACGAAAGCGAACTGTTTGCTGCAATTCTCAACGACACAAGCCCAACATTCACCTACAGCTATCCAACGATGTACATGCGTGGCCTGGTGGCCTGGTTACTCGACGAAAACCCCCAGACAAGACCAGCGGCCCGAGACGTCCTACAAGAAATTGATGCACATGTCCAGAGCAATCTGTTAAGGTGTGCATCAGCCATCGATCTTGCAAGATTTGTCAATAATGTCCTCTCACCCTTGTAAAAGCTCCTTTATACTTAACACCCATAACCATAACCATAACCATAACCATAAATGTAATTATAATTATAATTCCAATGATGATGACAAAGGTTATTTTAAATATACACACAAATATATATACAAATATTTATCAAACAAAAGAACCTAATCTACCTCTATTTCTTACTCTTTAAAGAAATTATAAGAGTCCTCTTTAATTTTTCTTTTATTCTTTTATTCATTTATTCACCTTTCGATTTCAATTGAGATCAATAAATAGGTTTCATCTTTGAGGGATTGTACAATTTATATATATATATATAATTTTTTTATATAATAATGATAATAGTGATAGTGATAGTGATAGTAATAACAGTAATAGTAGTAAGAATAACAGCAACAATGAAATCATCTAAAGATCCCTAACATAATTACCTACAAAAGAAAGAGAAGAAGAAGAAGAATAAGAAGAAAAGAAGTTAGTAAAGATGTACATACATACACACACACACATATATATATATATATATATATATATAAATTATTTTATGTTACACGCTCAATAAAGAAGTATTGGCTATCTAGTTATTATTTTTTTACCCGGAAAGATGCCCGTAACACCGTTGACTCGCCCTGTCCACCAATCATTTGCATCCTGGGTTCGTTGGATAACCTCAATCTTGTCATCCTTTTTGAAACTTAAATCTCCTGCTGCTTGGGCCTGGTAGTCATACAAGGCCAAGACATATGTGGAATTGGCAGTATGCATTGGTGACGCAGTATTCTGGTGATTTGACCATCCTCCTACTCCTCCTCCTCCTGGTGCTTGACTTTGTTGGTACTGCATTGGTGCGTTGTCTAGTGTAACAGATGTTGCGGCAAAAGGAGCAGCAGGAGCAGCAGGAGCAGGAGCACCGTACGCGGGTGGAGGAACAGGACTCTGATAACCGTAATTTGCGTGCACATCATTGCTCGGACCGTTCATACCACCAGTTTTTTCTTGTTCACGCAAATTTGCTCTTTCCTTTAGAGAAAGTTTTGAATTGTTTGCACCTCCAGATACTAAATGAAAATGACGACAGCAAAGATACCAACAACAACAACGATGGCAATAATTAGGATTTAGGATTTAGGATTTAGAATTTAGAATTAGGATTAGAATTAGAATTATGATTAAAATTTAGGGTTATTTTATTGTCAAGTATTCTATTCTAGGTTCTAAATGCTTAATCCTCTGATTTAATTTCAAATTTATAGTTATAGATATTACTAATACTTTGGATTTTATTTACTCACCTGCTAACCATGCTTTACCACCTGATTTAAGAAGGTCCATGTTTTCCATTTCTGCACGTACATCGCGTTGAGATCGTCTCCATTCAAATCCATCGGTGATAGGCATAGAATTGGTAATAAAGTGCTGAGCATTTGCATTTGCCAGTTCATAGCAGCGGGCATATATGATTCCGTAGATCTTGGTCTGCATCCTGTAGAAGCTCTCAAACACAGGTGTGATAAACTGGGACTTTAAATAGAAAAACTGAGGCATCTGTTGCTTCAGCATATCGTTAAGGTAATTGTAATCTTGGGTGGCTGTTTCCAGTTTAGCTTCCAGCTATTTTATGTACGCACCATACATCATATACAGATGCGAGTAGACGTAAAGATTAATATACAAATTTTGATTTATTTATTTTTTATTTTACCTTGAAAATCTCCTTTTCTTCATTGAAACTTCTGGTCTCCTTTGCCTTGATCTTGTTCACACTTGTTCTGAAACGATCATAATCAATCAACTTGTGCTGTCGCTTTACAATAGTCTTTTGGACCCTCCGGAATATTTCACTTAATTCCAGAGTAGGTCTAACGACATCTCTATCAACCGCATCCTACAAGCGCGCACACACACACACACACACATATATATGTATATAAGCATTTAATTAACAATGCAATTCAATTCAATTGAACTGAGCAAACCACAAAAAAAAAGAAAGAATACTCACCAATTCTGGAAGAACTTCATCTCTACAATAAGACATTGCTGCCTCGGCATCATTGACGGCTTGAATGGCTGGAGCAGGGGTCTGTTGAAATCTCTTTTGGATGGCGCCTTCACTAACCTCAACCCCAAGGTTTGTGTCATAGATTACGGTGAGGAATGAAGCCATTGAGGTTTGGTGGGTCAACAATGCTACTCAACCAAAACCATAATCCGTATCAGTATCATAACCATATATAAATTGCGGCAAATAAAATTAACACGGTGTAAGAAGTGACATTTAATGAAAATGATACGTTTAATAGAAATTAAAGAAAAAAAGAAAAAATTATGACTCTTTTGTGCATGTGTGTGTATGTGTATGTAGTGCTGTGTGCGTAAAGAGTTGGATAATTCTGATGTAATTCTTTTTTGATATATATATATATAAATTATATACATATACATAGGCAAACACACTGCACACTGCACACCGCACACCGCACACCGCACACCACACACCACACACCACACACCACACACTACATATGCATATATGATGTGGTACTTTAATTTGACTTTTTATCCCCCCCCCCTTTCTTTTTTTTTTTTACCTGAAATTCCATCTCGAAACTGCTGAGCATCCTTGCCAAGTCTTTCAACGACCTTTCCTAGTTCAACGAATCTTTTCTCAAGTGCGTCAAAATCAACGTCCTTGGTGACTAGAGAGGTTTGTGAATAATAAGGTCATTTACACATATGGATATAGAAAGTAAGAAGAAGTGCATTGACGTATGTATTTTTTTTTGTTATCACCTTCAGATTTTTTGGACATAATCTGGTGTGGTAGTCGACTGACTGCTTTTTGAAAACCCTAAGAAACAATAATGATAAAAGGTTGAGGAAAATAGGAAAATAGGAAGATGAATATAATGTAGACCTAATGTTGAGATTCCAATTCTAAATGTCATTTCACATTGCTTTATACCTTCCAACTCATATCTAAAAATTTATTCTTCTTTATATTTATATTTATAAATATATATATAAGTGTGTGTGTGTGTGTCTGGTGTTCGCAGGTATTAAGACTTTATTCTTGAATTAAAGAAGAAGAAAAGTTGTTATCTTTCAATTCTTGATATGCTTTGGTAAGTAAAGAAGCTAAAGAATATGTAAAGTAAAAGTAAGCAGAGGAGAAGAAGAATAAGAAGAAGAAGATTATAAATAAATAAATAAATAAATAAAAAGAAAAGCTGTAGAAAGTTTTCAGTGTTGTGTATTATTATTTTCGGCAGTAAAGAAGAACCGAGAAATTGTTATTTTACAAAAATAATAGAAAAATAGAAAGGCGGATACCGAAACTTTATCTTCGTCATGGAAACGAAAACCTGTTTATGTACTCGAGGTCACTCCGATTACCTTTTTTTTTTGTTAACATGAAGCCCTAAGAACAAGAGCTCTTGAATAACCACAATTACTCAGTACATTTGCGCCTAAAGGTGTTCAGTCAAGGTTAAGAAACATGAGATGGTTCTAACATATTGTAGTACGTTATTCTTATTCTTATTTGAAGAAATCCTTGTCGGTAAGATAAATGACGCATGAAAGCGGTAGAAAGAATTTCCTTATAAATTCTTAAGACTCTTTTGTTTGATCATGTTAGATATACACTTCTTTATCTGATATTTATATATCTCAAGTATGTAATATATATATATATATATATATATATATATATGCGTATGTACATGTAGACAAAAGACTGATTTAAAATGATTTATAAAAGCATCAACTTGAACTTTTACTATTCCTTCAAATCTTTCAAATCTATATCTTCTTCCTTTGTGCTTGTCACCCCCAAGTCCATTACCTTGACTCGCTTTGGACCCAATACTCTGATACTCCTCTTCCTCTTTTTCGCTACATTTCCATTTTTTGGTGTCTCTATCGCACGTTCTTTTGTTGTATTATGATCTTTCTCCTCCTTTGTCGTAGCTATCATCTGATTATCGTTGGCAGGGGTATCCTCGTCTTCTTTTGATAGAACCTCAATTTTATCATATTTTGCCATGGTATCTTTGTCTTCTTCGGCTCTAGTTTTCAACTCACAATCTCTCGACCGACTCACTTCCTTTTTGTCTTCTTTTTCTATAGTCTCCTTGTCGCTTGTTTCTGCCAAGGTCTTAGTTTTGATATCTTTTTCCTTGGCTTCATTTGCATCTTTCTCTTTCTCTTCTATATTCCGATGGTCAATAGCAGCCTCTTGATCTTCATTTTCTTTCGGAGATTCATGTTGTTTTTGCTCATTTGGTGGATGGCGTAGTACGATATTGTGCCGCTTTGCAAATCGATGTTTCCAACCATTTGAGAACACAAATGCTTGGTTTCCAGCCAACGGGATTGATTTTTCTTTAGCCATCTTGGTTGCAGCTTCCATAATCATCTTCCAATTGACAGAACTAGTCTTTTCTTTTTCCTTTTCCACAATCCATTCATAAAGGTCCTGTTCAAATTCCTGTAATTTTTTTGTTTTCAATTAAACAAAGCCAACAAAAAGTATAGAGCAGTAATAATAATATTATTATTTTAATAAATAAATCATTTGTCTTACCGGGAATCGTGCTGATCTTTGCTTTTTTCGAGTGGGATCTAGGCATTCTTTTGAAGTTGGTCTATTTGATTTCTTTAGGATCTTTGAGATAGTTGTTTTATCTGGTATTTTGGAAAGATGAAATTCCGTGAGAGCCCAATTGGCTAGCTGTTCGTTTGTAAGGTTTGGACTGGTGATTTTCTTGTCACAGACTGCACGTCGGTTAAGAACCGTCATGGTCACCTTGGGGTCTACTTTGATCATTTTTTCCGAGCGTGGTTTTGACACCGTAGATACTTTTGATGGCCTTTGTTCTTTAGCTGTTTTCGATTGTTCACTGGCCATCTTTCTGGTATTTTGTCTTGTCGGCATTTAGCCTATGTAAACTTTATATATCTGTGTTTATGGTTCTTTTTTTTTTATAAAAAAAAACGAGGCAATAATTAAATAAATTAATTAATGAAAAAAAACCAATGGAAATAAAAGTGGAAGAAGAACCAAATTAACAATATCGATCGATTGATTTTTATACTCTTGGTTTAATTTTTCCCTCTTTTTTTTTTTAAAAAAATAAAATAAAAATAAAAATAATAATTAATTTTGAGTTATATTTTCCCTCTCCGGCTTGTAGATTTGATTATATAATTTTTTTTTATATATCAACTTAAATATAGATAGGTAGGTAGATAGGTAGGTTGTCCATAATGTATACAGATATAGATATATATATACGTACGTACGAACCTATGTATGTACAAAACGAGTGCTCTTGTATAGACATGGCTATAGCTATAGCTACAGATAGATAGATACATAGGTACATAAACATTTTTTGTACCTGTTTATCTGTCCGTCTAAATAGTAAATATAACCTTCTACGCACTAACAAAGAGAAAAGAAATACAATTGATTGCTACTGTGGCTTGTATGTTACAGAAAAAAAATACATTGGAAAGCTATCTACTTGTTCATTGACTTGAGTTTCAATACCGAAACACATACAAGATACATGTGAGCGAGAGTCTATTGAGAGGTACAGACTTTGTTTAGTTTCCGACACTTTCAAAAGAAAGAAAAAGAGAAGTGCATAACAAGGAACCAAAAAAAAAAAGAAAGAAACTTTCCCCTGTCTTTATTTCTTTCTTTTTTAGGTCTTGCCTCTCTCCTACAAAGCTCAGGCATATAACTTCCCCTTTCCCTCTTTAGATTCCTTTATACACGTATATAAGATTCTATTGTTTGTATTATATCTGACCCTTGATACAATAAGGTAGTCCTCCTGTACAAATACATAAAAAAAAAGTTCTTCAGAAGGAAGTCTATACAAAGCTCAGCATTTTGTCTACAACAAGATCTCTATATTCATTTCTTCCTAAAAACCCTAAAGTTTCAACCCTCGTATCATTTTCTTACCTATTTTGCTTTGGTACCAACGCACAACACAACATACAATACAATACATGTAACCCCCCCCCTCTTCATTTCCCCCTTCGTTGTTCTCGCTCCCCCCCCCCCCCCCGTTGAGTTCATCCCCCGCTTAGATTCAATCTCAAGAGTGAAAGCAACAAAATAAAATAAAATATAAAGGGGAAAAACTGTATATTCTTCCTAAAGACCCTTTTTTCTTCTTCTTCTAATAAAGAAGTGTGTGTAGGCATGTATACATACATTTATTGGTTATTTTTCTTGTATATCAGAAAATACAAAAGGTTAGAAATTGATACAAAGTAAAGGTAAAAGAAGTAGCAATGATACAAAAGCAATAGCAGAAAGAAAAAAGAAGAATTTTCTGTGTACTGTCTATACAAGGAGACCATTGATAAATTAACTTTCTTCACATTTTCTTTGTGTGTGTATTTTGGCTTTGAGGATCAATATTCTTACAAGATTGTACTATAAATCAATACAACAATCAATTTCAACTCTTGGATAAGTTTTTGATTTTGATTTTGATTCTGATTATTTATAATAATAATAATAGTAGTAGTTATTTATATATTTGTACACCAAAATATAAACTTTGGCTACATCTCTTTAAAGAATATACACAGCAAAAGGAAGCAAAAGGAAGCTCATTATAATATGTTACAACTTTATCAATATATATCTATCTATATATCTATATGTCTCGGGAGCCCTCTTTAATCAGACAGCATCGTAACCTAAAGAAATAAAGAAGATAAGGCACAGTTTTGTTTTATTTTTAAATGATTTGTATCATTAATTCATTTGTTCATTTGTTCATACTTTCTTCTTCCTCTTCTTCTTCTTTGGCTTTGTTTGGTTTGCTTACATAATTACTTGGTACCATCCCAAGACTTCCGTCAGCCTTTTGAGCCTTCCACCAATTTCCTTCTTGTTCATGTATATTAAGCTTTTCTCCTTTTTCAAAAGATAGCTCATCAGGATCTCTGGGATCAGCAACATCTACAACATTTGATAATTAAGTTATTTACAAACCAAATAAGAAGAAGAAGAAGAAGAAAAAAAAAAGAGTTTATATATATAAAAGATACTTGCATTTGTGAATTGCAACTACTGGAATATCATATTCAACAGGTGCAGACAAGGAAAACAACTGATTCATGTCATCATTTGCCTCACGTCGACCATTTTCCATCAAATGGCATACATCAGGATTGGAGTGATAGATCGGAACTATTCCTTGTCCCTCGTGAGAATACATTGTGCGTGGATAAGATGCCTGGACAGGCACAGGAAGGTTGTAATGAGGTTTCTTCTTATGGACCTCCACAACAGGATTAGGCACAACAACTGTGTCATAAGACTGGTTGTTAGAACTTGTGCAGCTCTGATAATCTTTGAAGGAGTAGTATTCGTTTAAATTTGGTTGAATACCAAACAGAAATAGCCAAGAAAACTATCATATATAATTAAGTCAATTCAAATCAAATTAAAAAATATACTTTTATTCATGAGTACCCAAGTTATTCAACTTTCTTATTATTATTAGTATTACCTTTGCTGTCATCAATACAATAAATCCCGAGGCAGATGCAGACAACGCAGGCTGACCAATCATAAGGTGGTATTGTATTTCATCAATTCCATAAGGCACACTGAGAACAATTAATGAAAGAATCTAACAATATATATATATATATGTTAGTAAAGAGAGAGAGAGAGAGAGAGAGATAATCTTACGGTTGGATAATATATTGGTAAGCTATTCGTAAATACAACAGCACACACAAATGCCAATAGCCCGAACTCGAAAACCACAGTACACCAATAGATTGTTTGAATGACACCTCTTGATGCACACAGACCTGCCAATGTAATCAACCATCCGACCTGCAATAAATTTAATTTAACTTAACTTTATTATACATGTATGCAGTGTTGTACAGTAACTTACGATAGCCAGAGTGCAGCTCAACAAAAATACTGGGTGTGTGCGAGTAACATTCATGAGTCAGGTCAGGTCAAATGAATAACCAAAAGGTATATATATATATAAGAATGTAATAGTAGCAGTAGTAGCAGTAGTATGAATTATTATTATAATAATATTAATATTAATAATACTAGTAAGATAAATAAGAGTAGAAGTAGAAGAATTGAGAATAGTTGAATGAATGGACTCAAAGGGTTTCTTTACAACTTTCAAACATCGTATTTCTTCTTTAAATCTTTCTTTTATTTTATTCTTATATCACAAAATAAAATATTTAATGAGTATATATATATTCTGCTTTATTCAAAATATTAATTGGACTGGTCTCTTTTAGTTTGGCAAGCAAAAGCAAATTTCAATATATTCAAGAAGCATAGCGTAAATAAGTTTATTTCAGCAAGTAACCAGTAAAGTAGCCATATGGAAATGCACCATCAAAATAAAATAAAAAAATAAATAAAGGTACAAAAAAGGCCCAATAATAGTAATTATAATGTAATCGCCTTATTTCCAAGTAACAGATCTAATTCTCATAACGGCTGGATTTATTTTATTACCACTGATAATGATAATGGTAATGGTAATGGTACTGTTAATAGTAAAACAAGCCAAGTAATATGAGCCACAAGAACAAATACTTACTAAAGCTTGCTAATAACAACACACACACACACACACATATATATATATATATACAAGAAACCAACAGAGATAGACATAAAGAGAAGCTTTCTCCTTGATAGATATCTATATATATATGCGTGTGTGTATATGTACAGGAAGCTACTACCAATTGAAAAATCAACCGATAATTCAGTAACCTATATTATCTTTATTATTCTTATTTGTAAATAAAATAAGATAAAATAATAATAACAATAATAATGAAAGTCTCTCTTCACAAACACCACCATCCCCTTTATTCTCAATACCCTTTCCATTCAAGCAAAGAAACCATTGATTCAAAATATCAATCTTATTCTCGTCTTTACAAGGCTCCATACCCAGACAACAACAATAATACTAAAGAAAAAAAAATAAAGCTTATAATATACAAAAATGGTTAAGAAGAAGAAGAAGAAGAAGAATATGTATATGTATGTATGTGCTTGAAATGCTTATCCCACCAAATGCACATCTGTACTTGTTTGATTATTATGCTGTACTCAAAGCAAATCTTGACATGTATTCATGAATCCACGGCTAAATTAATATCAACCAATATTATTTTATATACTTCTTTTTCTTTTCTTTTATTACTTTAATATATATATATATGCTCTAAATGATCTACACGCCAAGTGAGGATAAACTGTTGGTCTTTATCGAAATGATATATAGTATCAGGTCCACAACCAGAATCGAAACGTATCAAAGATTCAAGGGGAAAGGGGTTTCACAAGTATAAAGACTTATTTAAGAAATAAATACATATATATATATATATTTATTCATCATTCATCATTTATATCTTAACTGGATACATGTATTGTATATTCATTTACTTTCTTATCTGTGGTTAATATGACTGAATTTATACACAATAATAATAATAATAACTCTAGAACTCAAGGATTCAATTGGTTCCATTAACAAAAGAAATATCTTTTGAGTGTACACATACTAGTCTTGAGCCCACACACACAGAGAGAGAGAGAGAGAGAGAGAGAAGTAGAGATAGGAAGATAAAGAAAGAAACTACTGTGCATGTATGTACGTAGCAAGTATATTCTTCTTCTTTTAATAATAATAGTAGTAGTAATAAAAATAACTTTGCAAATAATTGAAACCGCATCTTATATATATATATATATATATTCTTTTTTTTTAAGTATTCAAAATTCTAATGATTCTATAGTAAAGGATGCTTCTTCAACAATCAATGAATGTCAAAGCATGTAGTGAAATACAAGTTTGTGACAGTGGCTTGTGTACCAAGACTTCGCTGTCAGTTGGAAATCCAAAAAGAGAGAGAGAGAGAGAGGGAAGAGGAGAAAAGAAAGATAGAAAGAAGAGTATCTTATTTTTTATTATTTTTATTATTATAAAATAATAAATAATATTAAGTGCCGGCTTAATTTCTTTTTATCTAATCATTCATTCACACATACATCAATCCACCATGTCTGCACTCGATGGATCCCCACTGCACTCGATTATAAAAGCATCCGAAGAACTCCAGGCATTTGTAGTCAGTCAATTGGAAAGCAGGATTGCAGTAAGCCAAATTAAAACAAACAAACAAAAAAACAAAAAGATGTACAAATGTTACAAGTGCATTGCATCTAAAGTTTAAATAACAATAATAACAATAATAAAAGACCAAACATACTAATAATCCAATTTATACATGTTTTATACTGCAGGGAACATTGCCAGAAGATGTACTCGAGGGAGAAAAAGGCATGACACTCTTAAAGACGATTGATAAAATTATGGATTTACACGCCCTTGCATTTGGATCAACACGCGTCAGTAAAAATCTCACAGCCGAAGCAAAGACAGCAATGGATGCACGACAGATTGGACTACAGAATGTCATGTATGAAAAACGCCATTTATTAGAAGAGATTGTTAAATGCAGAGATTTTCGGTAAGAATTCCAACAAAACCAACTACCACCACTACCACTACCACTACCACCACAAAAAAAAGGACCGCAGAAAGAAAGAAAAGGGAGAGAGGGAGAGAGACAGGAAGAGAGAGCTTCAAAGCTCTATATACCCTACTTTTCTTTCTCTGTACCAAAAAAAAGGGGGAGGGGTGCACAAATATCATAAAGACAGTAGACTTGACTATCATGGACTAGATCGGTGTATCAGGACGTTGATCTGATACCTCTTGATGAATTCAATGCAGTCGCGCCTCCTGCATATCGACAGGACAACTCTAATCAGCATATAGAAATGATAAACCGATTAAAATTCGAACATGAGGCACGAATGAGGCAAGTCAATTAAAGAGACAGAAGAAGAGAGCGAGAGAGTACATAGAATATAATGATATTTATGTAGAAATATATCTAATACCCATTATTTATATACAGCTTGAAAGAACAACAGGAAAAGTTGCAAGTGGAACGTGTGAAGCTTATAAAAGACAACAGAAAAGCCCAAGAGAAATTGGATCGCTTTGACAAGCTCTACGATGATTTGGTTCAGGTATGGGCAATTAAGTTGATGTCGGGATAAAGATATTTTAAGAAATTCATATCAATATCCACAATTGTGTGTGTGTACAGGCATCAATACCTATGGAATTGGCATTATTGGATGAGGACAAAAAGGTAGAAAAGAATGATTCAGTAGAAGTAAAGACTACGAACGAAGATGTTGAAATGGAGGAGGCAAAGGGTCCAGAGGTTCCATCGTGCGCAGAGAAGGCAAAGATCGCAGAGGCCACAATGACCATGCAGTCCACAGTATCAAGCTCGAGCTTACCAGAAAACAACACCTTGGATGAAATGGATACGGCATAAAAGAAAGTGAAATTAAAACAAAACAACAACAACAAAAAAACAAAACAAAATGCTACAAAAATATTATAATATCAATAATGAGAAAAACAACACTATTTTTGTGTGGATCAAAAGGATTTCAAAGAAGTTCATCGAATGATTATAGTTTATTATACAAAGAAAAAAGAAGGATGCATCTATTCTGCCATTGCCTCCGCCCGTGAAGTCACGCCTTGTTGGCTAAGGAGATATTTGAGAGTGTAGGTGTTTGAGTCGCATCTAAACAAAAAAAAAAGAAGAGGAAGAAAGGAAGAAAGGGATAAAAAAAATGAGTATATGCAGGCGATCAAAATGCACAGAAGTATAAAATAATGATAATACTTACAAGTTGGCAATATCATCGCGTACACGGTTGACGCCCTTGTGTAATGCTCTAAAGACAGCCTGGAATTCACCGCGATGCTCTTTCAAATATCTTCCGTGTGCTGTCATGATGCTGGTAACCCAGATGAGATGGAATTCGATGTGAGGGCTGGTCTCCATATGAACACCCACAAACTGGAGAAGTTTTTGGAGGTATTTCTGGGGCATTCCACGTGCGACCAAGTCTACTGAATCTGGTGGAATACCCTCAAATACATCATGGAGTACAGTTTTTTCATTGAGACGGAAGGCCATACACAATGCTTTAAGATATTCTTTTTCTTCAAGTGCCTCCATAACAGATTCTGGGGTAATGTCGATCTCGAGATCAAAGGGATCAAACATGATTGAGTCGTCCAATGAATAGATCAAAAGACCGTCTGTGGTGGCAGCGGCCCATGCGCGACCTGTGGGCGAGAAACGGACGGCTTTTGATTTGGCTTCTGGGCGTGTGCGACGTACGGACAGATCGCCCGATTGTGTACCTGGTAATGTGTTGTCTAATCGATCTTCGAGGTCGGAAGCTTCGTCTGCCTCCATTTCTTCCAAACTTCCGAATTCGGTCATATTTTTAGAGTTGAGCTTTTCTTGGGTACCATCCAAGGCAAGGTTTTCTGAAATCTGGAACTTTTTGATGAGAACGTTGGTCTCGATATCGTAAATGCAGATGTATTTGCTTGATCCACCACCAATGATACTTGATCCATCTGCAGTGTAACAAAGTGAGTTGAATGCCTTGCCAGAGGCTGCGTTTTCGGCTGTAGTACGATCGTTGAGTTTACGTCCGCCAGAGATATCTTTTCGGCCTTCGATAGTTGTCAAAAGCTTGGATTCTTCTACGTCCCAGAAACAGATCTGGCCATCCAGGGTAGATGTGGCAAGCTGCTTTCCATCAGGGCGGAATGTAACAGCAAGCACTTCGGTTTGATGGGGTAAAAGTTCGATCACCTTGTTGCGTCCAAATACGTCCCATGTTCTGGCAGTGTGGTCCCAGCTCGAACTTGCCAACAACATATCTGTGGGCGAGAAGGCAAGGGAGCTCACGGGTCCATCATGGCCGGCCAAGATATCGAGCAGCTTACCGGTCTGCACACTCCACACATAAATTTCAAAGGTATCCATTGTGCCTGCACAGACAATATCACCACTGGGATCTACAGCAAGCGAACTGAACTGGACTGGGTTGGGACTTGTGAAGGTTCTGAAGTTACGGTAACGCACAAGATCGAATGCACGGACAGTGCCGTCCAAACTGGCAGAGAAGAGAACCTTGCCCTGTTTGGCAAACTCAACTGCGCTCACACCACTCTTGTGTTCACTAAACGTAACATAGCAGAATCCAGAGGTTGTGTTCCAGACTTTTACCTTGCCATCGTCACCACCAGTAGCCAATGTCTGACCGTCAGCAGAATATGATAATGAGTTCATGTCGTAGAAATGACCTTGCTGCTTCAATACATAGGTCTCTGACTGCCACTCCCACACTAACAATTGGCCAAGTCTGGCTGATCCAAAAGCTAACCATTCACCTGTTCGGTTAATGGTGACAGTATCAATGTTCTTTTGTGAAATACTATACAAATACAAATACGCACACAAATATGAATAAGATATACATAAATATATATTTGCATTTGCATATACCAAGAAAACTTAAAAGAAACGTGAAATTGTGTACTACGCTTACCTCAATGTGTGAATAGTGTTAAAGCTGGGAACTTCATAGAGACCAAAAATACCGTTTGAGAAACCGACAACCATCAAGTTGCTAGGTGCAAAAAATTCGCATGATTTGACCTTTGCTGGAGTTTGCATAAAGTAATGCTTTTTCATGATTCTCCAGCGCACCTTATCAACCCATTCATTACCCTCGTCTACATCCATATCTTCGGGATTCAAATCTCTAAGGCCAGTGTAGGTACCATATTTCCAATGGAATAATGCACCGTCTTTACTGACAGAATAAATCTATTACACGCACATATATCATATAAAATAAGAAGAAAAGAGTTACAAAACAATTCGATCCTCTAATTTATTCCTTTTTTTTTTTTAAAAAAAAAAAAGAAAAACTATCCTGTATCATCCATGCAAAAATAATAGTATTAGAAACAAATGACTTACATTTTGTCTATCAGCCGAGAACCAGGCACCCATAACTGTATCACGATGACCAGACAATACTGGAGGAACAAAATCAGGCAAAGGATCAACAGTGAAAATACGAATACTCAAATCCTCAGAAGATGTCATGAAATATCTAGTAACATGTTAATCGCCGTTATTTCCTTGTTGATGTAGACTTCTTTTTTTTTGTCTTACTTTGAGTCAGGGCTCCAGTTGATATTGACAATATCATCGTAATGACCGGTGTAAGTACGATGAAGTACAAATGGAGCGAATTCAAGAGTGAATCCAGGAGTTTTCCAGATCTGGACATTCTTTCCATGAGTGACTGCAAAGTGTTTACCATCAGGGCTGAATTGAATCGCCTTGACTTTTTCTTTAAAGTTGAAATGGTGAAGAACAACTTGACGGGGGAAGTTGACCAACAATGCTCTACCGTCTTAATTATAAATAAAGTTATTATATTGTTGTTCATCCAACACGATCCACAAGTATTTTCGGTTTAAAGGTGTAATATATATATAGTTGTTGGCAGGTAATTTTTTGAATTGTTGAAATGAGATTCTTTCTTTCATTCATTCTTTCTTCTTATTTTTTCTTTTTACCTTGATCGATTGTAATCAAAAGGGTAGCTTGTGGAGAGAGTGCCATGCAGACAATGTTCTTGCTCATGTCAAAAGGCATGGTGTATGATTTATTGCTAATTTTTTATTTTGGTGTAGATCTGTTTGTCAGTCTCATCGCTCTTTCGTATAATCGTTTATTCTGGTCGAGATTCCTTACTTGACCAAGTCAAAGACCGAAACACGGTTTCCGACTGGACTGAGGACTGAATTGCCATCGGGAGTGAAGAGCAGATTTCCACCTGTGTATACGGTACCGCACAGGTTTGAGAACTATAATTATAAAATACAGACAAAGGGACAGAAAGACAGACAGAAAGACAGATAAAGATAATAAATTTATTTAATATGATAAAGAGAAGGGAAAATTAGCTTAATTGAGCCAAAGCAATTTATTTGAAAAGTTTATTGGTCTACTTGTTTCTTTTGCTTGTTACCTTGAAAGACGATTTCATTCTTCAAAGCCCTTTGAGTTCAAGTGTTCTTGACTTGGACATCTGCAAATGAGGAAAGCTTGTCATTTTTTCGACCCGAGGTGGCTTGCACACGATGAAAAGCAGTCTGGTTATGGTCACTAGTGTAGGAGATGAAATTATGTGCTGCCCAAAAGAAGAAAGGAAAAAAAAAGAGTATTACAGGCATTTTGATAAATGCGATAATGCCTTATTGTACTCTTGTGCTTGTGCGAGGATGAGCGAGGAGATTGCGGAGATGACAAGAAAAAAAGGTCATGGGCTTATTGCTTTCTTAAATTCTCAGCACACAAAAGAGAACAAAAGAACAAAAGTCTAAAGACCAAACACCGTATCAACCCATGTTGTGGATCCAACATCAGCCATGTTTCAATTATAGAGTAGGTTTTTTTTTTTCAAATACCTACACACACGTATATATATATAAAATTGTATAGAAAATATTTTTTTTTGAAAAAAAAAAAAAGGGAATTTGAGTACTATACCAATTGAAACAACAATAACGACGACGACGATAACAGGAGAGGAGGATATCGATATTGACCCAATGAAGAAAGAGAAAGTCCAATAGATCAATTTGAGTTTATTTGTTTCTGTTTGGAGATCTGGATATATTGCTCTAAAAAATAAACAAGTGACAAAGAAAAAGGCACACCATTATTGTGGGTACGTGCTTGAAAAGGGTGCAGGTTACCTTGTGTGGGAAATAGGATAAATTATATTATCAAAGATTTGATAGGTCTATGTATAAAGAGGAAATGACGATACTAAACTTAGGATGTGCTATATAAAATCAGACAATTGATTATTAATTTTCCTAAAAGACAAGATCCAATCCATGAAAACTTGCTTGAACAAAGCTTTCCTTTAGAATACCTTCCTTTTGTCAATTCTTACAATATGAACACACATACACGTAGGCATTTATTAGTATTATAATTATCATTCTCTTTGGCTTCAAAAACTAACAAACAAATATTCTCATCAACAGTAATCCAACACAATTAGCAATGATTTTTCCAATAATGGCAAAAGAACATCCAAGTCTATTGACCATAAAGATTTCGGTTGAATTTCCGCCTTTCACTGCCTGTATTCTTACTTTTATCTAGTTGTCTTTCTCCCTCTCTCTCCCTCTCCCTCTCCTCTCTCTATACCTACTATATATATACATATATATCGCACCCGTCTACTCACACGATATATAACATCATTATTTTATAATATTCTAAATACGCTATAACAATGTCACCTTTCTCTGGACGAACAACAAAAGAGAGCACAAATTCAAAAGGATCAAATAGTAAACAGTTCAAACTGTAAGCAACATACACACAGAGAGAGAGACGACCTCACATACACACAGGCATAAAGACAAACACCGACATAGACATTCTTTTTACTACAAAAAAAAACCTCATTTCACCAAAGTTATCAATAAAAATTAAAATTAAATAAAAACTAATATTCATCATAAATATACAATTTTTATTATTTTTTTTATTATTATTATTATTCCTTTAAGTGTAGTAGAAGAATCTACTTTGGAACCGAAATTCCCCATTGGACAATACGATTACATTGATGGACGAAACTTTTATCGTACAGAGATCAAAAACAACTATCTTTTACCATGCGATGATGAAGAAGTCGAACGCCTTGAAGTCAATCATCTCTTAGCCAAGTAAGTTCATTGTCGAGATGTCCTTTTGAAAAAAAAATAGTCATTGTGGTTTTGTGGGGAATATGTTAGCGGTATATAAATATTTATAAAAAAAAACCCCCTTTTTTCCTTCACCTTTAATTCCCTTGCAAGACAAATCCATTAATGTTTTTTTTGGATTGTACCATTTTCTTCTTCTTTTTGTCAAATAATAACGACAATAGGCTTCTTTTTGGAAAGTCAGTAAACCAAAATACACAAAACAGATCTATATATTCATAGATCCAATACGACGATTTTTTCTGACTAAAAACAAAACAAAATACAAAATACATATATACAACACTCCACTTCTCTCTCCATTCTCGGTCCCATTATTATTATCCGTTTCTTCTCTTCCCTTTACGTCAACAGGCTATATTTCTCACCAATCGAAGAACAATTGAAACAAGGCATTAGGGTGCTAGAAGTCGGGTATGTAACCATATCGATTTACAGAAAAGATAAATACATTAATCAAAACCTTAATTTATCGTTTGCTAAAGTAACAACTCTATTAACTTGATACTATTTTGTGTTATTATAGTACAGGTCCAGGATGGTGGTTACAGGTAATGGATAATAGTAATAGTAATAGTAATAGTAGTGGTAGTATTAATAAACTAAATATATATGTGTGTATGGATAATAATACAGGACATGGCCAAAGATTTCCCAGCATCACATTTCACAGGCACAGACATCATGTTTTTTCCAAAGTAACTCTTGTTAAGATTCCTTTAATCAGATCCAATACGAGCAATATATTCCAATTGTCTAATATCTCGATTGCAAATAGTAACCCGCCTACCAATTGTCACTACCGTATTGCAGATGTATCAAAAGGACTACCTTTTGCCGACAATACTTTTGATTTTGTTGTCCAACGAGACGCAATGTACCGCTTTTCCAGAACACACTGGGATTTTGTACTCAATGAGCTTATCCGAGTAGCAAAACCTGGTGCCTACTTAGAGCTAGGTAAACATTTAACACATCCAAGACAGCAACAACAACAAAAAATGCTGGAAACTCATGTCTTTGTCTATGTATTATTATGATTATTTTTTTACTCTGAATTTCACAGTCGAGTCCTCTGGGACAATAAATGACATCGGACCAAATTCGTCAGTTTGGCTTATGCGATGTATGTAACACACACACACACACGCACTCACACACTAAAGACTCTGTGTACTAATTCTGACATGCACTTCAAATTGACTCCATCTTGTGCATCTTTTTTGTTATGCTATGTTATGATTTTTATTTTATTTTACTCCTAATTCTTTATCCGATTCAAGTAACTGTCTCATTACAAACACGGAATATCCACCCAAAGATAGCCCCTCAAATTTCACAAATGGTCATTGATACTGGGCGCGTAACAGATGTAGTAGGGTCTCACAGGTCAATTCCGATTGGCTGGCTTGGCAAACTGGGTGATGTGGCACTAGAATCAATGGAGCGTCTCTTTGATTCGATGAAACCACGGTTGTGTGAAGATTGGTCGATGAGTTCAGCAAAGTATGACAAGGTGACTCAATCCGCATCAAAGGAATTCCGCGACTTCAAGAGCTGGTCAAACTTCCATTATGTTTCCTTCCGAAAAATGACAGACCAAGAAAGATCAGAGACAGCAACCCCAAGTAGCACCACAACATTGACACCAGATGATACAGACGTTGAGTCTAAAGGTTCAAGTAGTTCAATCAAGCAATAAATAGAAGAGATCGGATCCTCTAGATGTGTAAGGACCAGAAAAAAAAGTGGAATACCTGGACTGCCTTTTTCTCTTTCTTTCTCTTTCTCTCCTCGTTTACCCTTCTTTCATACATCCACTTATTTATTCATTTTGGTTGTATCCAGCCATCAAATTCACCGACCCACACAACAATTACTTGGTGTACCCTTTTTTTTATTTCACTACTATCATTTATATTTTATATGCCCCTCTTCTCCACCAGCAGACCCGTACAGCATATCCCTACCTTTCTTTTCAAATCTTTACTATTTTATCAACATCTCCCTTCCCTATTCCATTATCTTATCCGATATTCCGTACATTAAGGATTATTACTAATTTACACCTACACATACACATAAACCACAACCTATAGACATTATGATTTACACAATTACATTCCTTTATATACATATATAAATATTATATCAGTTAAACATATGGATTATACTCAAATTACAACAAAAATTTCTATCATAAATGTGGTTATGAACTTCCCTAAATATTATCCTAAACACTGTTAAGAAAGGCCAGATCATAGTCAATTAAATATATATATTGGTTGGTAAATATTACACAATTACTCTTTATTACTATTATTATTGTTAGTAATAGTATTTGCTATATACATCACTTATTCTATTATTCACTTTGCCAAAAGCATTGTTTTTTTATAATCATTCTTTCTAGTCAAAGCTTACATGTAATACAGCCTAACTAAAAGCCTTAAGTTTTACTTTTATGCATAACTATACAATATTTACCATGCACATATACTAATCGACAGACAGAAACTCACAAGCGTATAAATATAGTTAAAAACAGTTCACCTATTTCAATATTGAATATTGTATTAAAATATTCATTCATACATTTTTAAAGTGTATCCGATATATCCCAAAAGTAAAAATAAAGATTTTTCTCAAGACCTGCGCTTGAAGGCCGATTCACTCAAGTTTACACCCAAGCTTCTCAACAACCCTCATTCCTGCCCACTTGACATGGCATCAAATTTACCATGACGGCAAAGTATCGGTGAAATGGTTTGATGCCAAACTGTTCAAGATAGATGTCTGAGACACCCAAGTGGGACAACATAGCATTTACTTAGACACCTTAACTTTGCTTCGGGTTCTTCCCTCATGTTCAGTTCTGTTTACCAGAGCGCGGGTTACAAGTGTCAAAGACTAAGCAGAGAAGAACTTGAAACGTACAGAGATCATTTCAACAGGAAGCAGTAAAATACAGGCGATTGTGTTGGAATCTACCTGCATTACCTCATGTCCAGATGCTCAACGAATTTAAAAACTCTATGCATCCAGGTGATACACCCTTATACTTGCACCTTTCTGTGACAATCTTGACATGCCTCGAAAGACAAAATCTGAAGTGCCAATATCCAACGTCCTAAGAAAATGGCATAAAGCTACCTCTGCGTTACTCAGTCTCCTTCATGTTATGTGCCGCACAACACAGAAAAACTGACGTGGATTTCATCCAGCTTCCGCCTTCATATGACTGACTCAGGAAGATCTTTAACACCAGGTATGCTCTACATTAAGAGATACTTTCCCTGACGGTACTTGTGATCAGTTGGTTTTTTAAAAATATATTTAGTCTTCAATGAAACTTTTCACTGGGATTAGGGAGTTTGTAAAAACAACCCGACTCGTTGGAAGCTGCTTAACACAAAGACAAGAACTCAAGACAAGGTGAGGGATCTTCACCCTCCATTAATCTTTTCCAGGGAGTGAAGAATACTGACTTGTTGATATGTCTGGAAAAGCAGTTCACTAGTTCACAATCCGGAGCAGTCAAAAGACTACACAGGTTCAAAACTTTGGAGCTTTTCCATCTCAAACAATAAAGTCCAAAACAGAATCCATTTTGATTTCTTCTCCTCTACAGTAAATGCAGGTAAGATCGTGCAAGATACAAGCCACTTTTAGGACATAGTACCTTGAGAAAACTCAATTGCTAGACTAGCCAAAGAGTGCAGTGCATTCAATTAAAAAGACAAGAATCTCATATTAAGACAAGTCTTATAAGTAAGGCGTCTACAGTGAGCGCATTGGAAATGAGCCCAAAGACTCATTATTAAAGACCATGATATACACATCTTGCATGAAAGTGTTTACATATATTCCTTTTGATATGTCGTGACTGACATGGATGTATATTCACATTTTCGGCTAGCCCAGGAATATCCTATATCTCTAAATCTTTTTGTATCAATTATGTAAACCAATTGGTTAAGTCATGACCTTGAGAAGAACATGATTGTTACAACTGGCACAGCAATCAATTGAAAATCATAAAGATTGTAACAATGAACCCCAACAATATCTATCTATTTCTATTCCTCTCTCTTTTATTTATTATTTATCATCCAAAGAAGCATAGCTTATCCCAACATTTTAGTAATAGCTTAGTAATAGCTTAATAATTATATTATTTTATTATGTATCGAAACATCTATAATTACATTGAAAGATGAAAGCCATAAAGAACATTCTTATATATCACTACTATTTTCCTTTTATCTTTCTCAAGAGAACAAGTTGCCAATTGCCAATATTAGGGCTAAGGAGCTTTTAGAGGAGATCGATATATATTTCTTTTTTTTGTTAATTGTCTGGGCCACTTCTTTGCATAGACCAACACAACCCGCCTCAGTTTGATTGTATATTGCTCATACAATAGCTTTATTTCTTCTGGTATATTATTTTTAAGCAGTAATATATATTAATAGCAACAAATAATTTTGCTCTTTATTTAAAACATGAAATAATAAAAGAAATACAGGAGCTTTTTAAGTAAGACATTGTAGCATGGTAAAGACTAGTAATTTATTTTTTAATAAATTTTCTAACTATATCTATAGGAATATTAATTATATATATAACAGTGATACCATTGAGATTAAAGAAAATATATCTAATTGCTTGAACTAATGATAGTAAGAATATAAAATATAAGAAAATAGAGATTCAGTAAGAATTCTTATTCTAAATTCAAAGAAGAAGAAATAAGAGATGCTTGCAGAAGTATTGTGTTTTCTATGAGAGAAGGAACATGATAACTTCTAGTAAGCAAAAGATGATAAGACATATCTTTTTACGGCAGTATCTAGAAGCCAAAAAAGACAATTTACCAAAATTTGAAATTATTGTGAAGATGATCCTGCAGTATAGACAAATGTGATTTAATACAAACTCTGTAAGATAATTGCTTGAGAGCATATTGATTTGATGACAGATCATAAATTAAAAATCAAAATGAAATAATAAAATAATAGTCGCACTGTTTTTTAAACGAATGCTATATACTAAATGTTTAATTGATGTGAAATAGTTGAGAGATTTGAAGTAATACATAGAATAATAGTGTCTTTATTTAATTAAATTATATTGAAGGATTTATATAATGTCAAATTCTTAGTTCACCGTTTTGCCAAAAAAAAAGTATATAGCAAAAGTGGATCCATCCCCCTCAGGACGAAGACCTGATTTGACGGCGAAGGGGAAAAATGAGTTGGTTGCTCTCTTTTCAAGAAAGAGTGGAGTGGAAAACAGAGGCGAGGTCAAGCAGCGCTGCACGTCAACATACACTATTCCAAGCCAACGGATGTTTTCTAGATCAACGGTTCCCACACCGCATCGCACACAGCCACAACCAACTCGTCTGGACACTTGCGCAGGAAACTGCCAGTGAAATACGGCAATAAAGACCGTACAACACAGTACAAGAGATCATTCGTGCATTCTCTCTTGCAGGTCCGGAATAAAGAAAGCTGATCCTATCTGAGAGCTAAACGCCCAGACAAGATATTCAAAGTAGAGTCAGTATATATGTTATGGTTTTGAACGTGTGCTATGTGTGAAATAATGTGCTTATCCTGCTGCTAATACTATAGGGTTAGCAATCTTTGTACCAGATAAACAGAAATAGCCGTGAAGAAAAATCTACTACTAATAAATCGCAAAAGCTGTGCCAGGATCTTGTTTAGCAAGAGTTTGTTGATACTGTATCTATGTAAAGCAATAGAGAGAGAATATTGATTAGAGCTGGTGTAAACAAAGAAAGAGCTGTAAAAAAAATAAGAGAGAGAAAAACTTATCAAATAGTATCGGACCAAAAAGATGTGTTGCAGAGAGAGCATATCAAATTCTTAGTTCACCACTTTGCAAAAAGTAACAAGAGTGGATCCATCCCCCTCAGGACGAAGACCTGATTTGACAGCGAGGGGGAAAAAGGAGTTGGTTGCTCTCTTTCCAAGAAAGAGTGGTATGGAAAGCAGAGGCGAGGTCAAGCAGCGCTACACGTCAGCATACACCATTCCAAGCTAACGGATGTTTTCAGAATAACATTTTCCGCACCACATTGCGCATAACCACAACCAACCCGTCTGGACACTTGCGCAGGAAACTGCCAGTGAAATACGACAATAAAGACCGTAAAACACAGTACAAGAGATCATTCGTGCGGTCTCTCTTGTAGGTCCAGAACAAAGAAACGTAAGCTCGCCTGAGAACGAAACGCCCAGAGAGTCGACACTAGTAAAGTAAGTATATTTTGCTCTTATGTTCTTTATGGAACAATACTTACCGGAAATTTTTGGGACCAAGACGGATACTTTGGAGAAAGAAAGAAAGAAAAGAAAAGAAGAAAACAAATACATAGAGCAAGGTATACATATAAAGGGTATATACAAAGAGGGGTATAGCTATAGATATAGGTGGATATAGAGATAAATATAAAGCTATAGATAAAAGTATATAGAGTCGGAAATAAAGATATGCATAGTAAAACCTGTTGAAAAATAACATCATCATAATAAAAAAATATTTTAATGGTAAAGAAGCTGTATATACAAATGAAAAGAAAAAAGCTCTTACCAAAATGCCCTTTGGACAAAGAGTTATATTCAATCGGCCAAAAAAAAACTATATGGGAGGACTGCTTTAAAGAAATAAAGGGATAGATTATAGTATTGTTCAAAGATAAAGAGATATATAGACATATAGATAGAGAGGTTCTCCAATGATTATAAGATATATGGACGGAAGGATAATTCAATGATAAAGAGATATGGAGGCATATAGATAGAGAGGTTCCCCAAGGATTAGACGATATATCGACGGAAAGATCATACAAAGATAAAAGAGAGAGAGATAGAGAGATTTTGCTTGACCAAGCTCCTGCTAGTGTTTATATAGACAATTATTTGGTATTTTTTTTTAAAAAAAAAAGAAAGGGAAAACATGGTCACTCTATCGCAGTCTTTTGGAGTAATGAATGCAAATGCAGATCATCTCTTAAAATGCTATATAATACAACAGAGCAACAAATTACCTAGCACTCTTTTAAATATTCTTGAAAATAATTATTACCAAACCTTTGTAGATAGAGAGTATCAATATATTACTCTTCAAAAGAGATGTATAAATATCTTGATATTACTCTTACAAGGGATACACTAGAGTATATTTTACTATACTTTAAAGAATAAAAGATATATTTGCAGCATTATTACTATCAATATGATAGCTAGGTAATATTTTATGCACAGCGACTGATAGACATAGTAATTATAAGAGGGGGTTTTTTTTAAAAAAAAAAAGAATCTCTAGCATTAATAATTGATGTACACAGCTGATATTTTAATAGCAATATACCATCTTTGCATACCAATATTTCATTCTATATTTATTATATATATGGAGAATCTCACTAGTCAAAGAGGTGCTCTGTAAAAAAAACACCGACCTTCTTTATGAAAGCCTACACTTTATCAAAAAAAAAAACGAGATCTTTCACAGCATAATTTGTATTTTATATAAAAACCTATCCAGTAATAATCTTTTTACTTGGATATTGTATGCCAGTTATTTGTTTTTGGTTAATGAAGTAGCAGATCTTTTTTTATCAAAGCCAGTTATTAGCAAAAGTGTTATGTTGTATACTCTGCAAATAAGTTATATATTTTGTACTCTATTAATATATATATAAATGTTTTCTTGATTGATACTCACAATAAGAAACACTTTTTCACAAAATAAAATCTCTTTAAAATCTCTGCCTGCTCTTAAGGATAATAATACAATTTGTAATAAATGATAACATTATTTTCTTGTACATTTAATTAAATATAACATGTGAGATATACTCTTATTAGCAATTCTCTGTAAACAATATTCAAAAGTTGATTTTTATAAATACAAACACATCATATAAATGTATGTGACATATTATAGCGCAATCAAAATTCCAACCTTTACTGATATAATCCTATCTTATGTAAAAATTAGTATTAGGCATTTTGCATTAGATGTTCAAATAATTTAACTGCTAGTATTTAGAAGTCATTTTACTTTGATTGGATTCTCTAGATTTTTATATTTTGTTTTATTATCAGAGAAAAAATGCTTTCTTTTGATATAAGTGTAGTAGCAAGAGAGACACTCATTGATAAAAAACAAGTTTCCTTCTCAAATTTATCAATAAGTCATTATATTTATTTATCAACCGCGTACAAGGAATATCAGTTAATTGTAGAGTATGTATCCCATTATTTTTGTTTAAAAATGCCATAGAGAAAAAAAATGAATTAAAATATCTGCTACTTCATTAACCAAAAACAAATAACTGGCATACAATATCCAAGTAAAAAGATTATTACTGGATAGGTTTTTATATAAAATACAAATTATGCTGTGAAAGATCTCGTTTTTTTTTGATAAAGTGTAGGCTTTCATAAAGAAGGCCGGTGTTTTTTTTTACAGAGCACCTCTTTGACTAGTGAGATTCTCCATATATATAATAAATATAGAATGAAATATTGGTATGCAAAGATGGTATATTGCTATTAAAATATCAGCTGTGTACATCAATTATTAATGCTAGAGATTCTTTTTTTTTTTTAAAAAAAACCCCCTCTTATAATTACTATGTCTATCAGTCGCTGTGCATAAAATATTACCTAGCTATCATATTGATAGTAATAATGCTGCAAATATATCTTTTATTCTTTAAAGTATAGTAAAATATACTCTAGTGTATCCCTTGTAAGAGTAATATCAAGATATTTATACATCTCTTTTGAAGAGTAATATATTGATACTCTCTATCTACAAAGGTTTGGTAATAATTATTTTCAAGAATATTTAAAAGAGTGCTAGGTAATTTGTTGCTCTGTTGTATTATATAGCATTTTAAGAGATGATCTGCATTTGCATTCATTACTCCAAAAGACTGCGATAGAGTGACCATGTTTTCCCTTTCTTTTTTTTTAAAAAAAAAATACCA